ACCATATAATACATATTTAATAATTTTATTGTAATTTGTTTTGGAGGAGAGGTTTTTATGCTATAAGTGTGTACGTTCACCAGAGACACAGAGAGAGACAGAGAGACAAAAAGTGAGAAATCACCCCCCCAGGGGGGGGATGGTCACACCGCAATCTCTTCTCCCCCATTCTTGTCTCGGGATCTCGGGCATGCACGCACATGTGCCCGGCATGAGTTTAAGTCACCAGGTCTGGGATTCGAACCATGGTTGACTACATGGGAGTCCAGTGATGTAGCCATTATGCCATCTGTTAGGCCCAATTTTATTGTAATTTTTGAATTACACATAATATTTGTACATTTTTATGGGGTATAGTGTAGTTTTTTTTAAAGCATTTATAGAATATGTAATAACAAAATGAAGACAACAAGCATCTAATTATCATTTTCAACATTTATCAACACTATGTTGTACACATTGAAAATTCACTCTACTGGTTACCTGAAAGTATTGGGTCATCAGAAAAATCATGATGCATTTTTGCATAGAAAAATGTGTCATCACTTTTCCAGTGACCCAATATATACTAAATTATTACCAATTCTTTATTCTACCATGCTAAACTATTCCATAAACCTTTCCACTTGTTTACATATACTCATATATTTAGGACTTATACATATGAGAATTGCATCTTACTTTTGAATCATATCCTTTAAGTAAGGATGCCCTGGAGTGAGAGAGCAGGCTATGATAATATTACCTAGTCTTCTAAATTCCAGACCATAAAGTACAGAAAACAAAGGTGAGATCTGAGCTTCCATCCTCTTCTGATCTTTCAGTGACCTGACTATAGATTTGCAGCTTGGTGATTTATTGAGTCCCAACTGTCAATCAGATTAAACTAACAGACAATAAGAACAAGAAAGGTGAGCATAATAAGTAGTTGAAAACCAAAAGTAATTTTATTAGCTCTGAGATAACACATGCTCGTATCTGATCAAGGATTTACTTTGCTTCTGATTCATTTCTGAAGCACTTTACATACCACAATTTCTATAGGCACTGGTGTAGGTGGAAATTTTTGCATGGGAAATACAATCTTGAGTTCCTCCAAACATTGTCTGGCCTCTCTCTAACCCTATGAATACATGTAGAATTACGTGACCTTGAAATATTCTCTCCTTGTATTAGCAGTGACAATATGGTTAATTGAACTGTCAGGCAAGACCGCTGCTCATTAAGAGCTGCTTGGTAGATTGAATCCATTTTCCTTTTGCAAATCACATATAGTACACCAACTGTACAATGAGAAATCTGATAATTATTTTGTGGGGAATGCAAAGAAAAAGATACAATTAAGAAATTAAATGGAACAAAAAAGTCTAAAAATCTATTCATGTTCAGGTTAGGCTTAGAAATAATGTATATTTAATAAGTCTATCAGAAAATTTGATATATAAAAGGGTTTTAAAAATCCTGGCCAAGGGGCCAGCAGGTGACATAGTGATTAAGGTGCTAGACTCCCTCTGGCCAACCGTAGTTTGAGTCCCAGACCCAGCAGGTTGGAAATCGTGCTGGGTGTATGTACATACATGCCCAGGATCCCAAGAGGAGAATGGAGGAGAAGGGATTGCAGCATAGTCATACCCGCTAGGGGGTAATTTCTAATTTTCTCATGTCTTTCTGTCTGTCTCTCTCTCTGTCTGATGAGTGCACTGAAAACAAACAAACAAACAAACAAACAAAAATCCTGGCCAAAAATATAGTTCTTATTTTATTTAATTTTATTTTTTAAAAAGAATGATTTGTTTAATTTTATTTATTATTATTATTATCGTTATTTTTAAATTTGCTGTAGGATACGCATGCTCACACGAAAGAGACAAATAGAAAGAGAAGGAAAGGTACAGAGAGAGACAGAGAGAAAGAGAAGGAAAGTGACAAAGCAAGCCACCAACTCTGGGACTTGAACTATGGTTGATCATATGAGAATCCAGTGCCTTACCCACCATGCCAGTGGCTGGCTCTTGTTCTTGTTTTAAATTTGTAGGCATTCTTAAATATTTTGGAGAGTTATTTTATGATAGATGTTGTATATGTTTTCTCTCAATCTTGCTTTTCTTTAGCTATTTTTTATGTTTGATTTTTTCAATTAATAAACCTTTTAAGGCATAACATTTACAGACACATTGAGGGGAAAATAATGGAGTATTCTCGTATTTCCCAATCTGCCCTCCCTGCATATACATTCTTGCTTTATTTTTTAAAAATTCTTATAATAGGGACTGGCAAGTGGCATGGTGGTTAAAGGTGCTGGACTCCCACATGGCTGACCACGGTTCAAGTCTCGGACCTGGTGGCTTGCTTTCTCACTTCCTCTCTGTCTCTGTCTCTCTCTGATCAAACTGGAAAATAATAATGATAATAATAATAAATAAAGTTAAAATAAAATAATTCTTTTAAAAATTCTTATAATATTTTCTATTATCAGGAGCTTTTTATTTTAGCGTAGCCATATTTACAAGTCTTTATAACTATTGCTTATTTGCTCGCTCTTTCTTATGAAAATCTTCCCAAGGTCTTTAATACACTATACATTCTCCCAGTTTTTTCCTCTGGTGATTTTGTTTGTTTTCTTGGGTTCAATCTTACAATTCTTTTCAAATTTAGTTGTCACCCCCAAACTCCTCTTCCCATAGAGTACTTAAAGCCTAGTCAATTCACCAATCTAACATTGCTCCAATGCCATTTCTTCTGCCCAATAGTCTCTCATTCTTGCAGTTAGAAATAATCTTTCTTTCCTCTGAAGTTCTTACATTGCACTTAATGGTAGAGCTAGGATGGCTTGTTTCAGCATTTTCCTCCTCTGAATAGGTCTTGAGAGTAGGCTCTGTAAATCTTGATATTCCCTAAAGAGTTCCATTCAATGACCCAAAGAATAGGTTTACCATTACATTTTGAAAAGGAAAAGAAAATATGTTCACTTTGGATAACTGAAGAGCTAGCTGAGGCACACCTTCTTATTTTCAAATGTTTGAATATTTGTCCCATGTTAAAAACAAGATAGTTTTAGTGACCACAACAATGACACATTTTGTTCTTTTAATAAGAGCTATGTCTCAACAAAAGGTAAATAATAATGAAGCATTTAGTGGAGAAAAAAAAAGAGAAATGAACTGGTCCTATATAGTCAACAAATGAATACTAAGGACAATTATATTTTTTTCTCAATAGAAAGAGGAATTTGCCAGCATATGAAATTTTCTGAAAATTGAATGAACTCACAAGGAAGACATGTTAAGACTGAAGCAGTGAATTACATTTCTTCTAAAGCCTTTTCTATACACAGTAAGCTTATAGATAACAGCGACTACTGATATTGGTGATCCCACCCCATCCTTCCAATCTCCAGTTACACCTACCTCCAGGAATGAACATTTAGGATTTCTATCATATTATTTTCATCATAAAGAGAAATGTTTTATTTCCAATTTTTGGGTGAGAGCCTTATAGTGTTTAGATCATCTCTTAGGGGGTTCAATATTTTTAAACTGACCAAACCTTACCTACAAAAAACAATAAACATATACCTTGTGCATGGAAACATACATACATTGAATACTTAATGCACTTTCATTAAACTTACTAAATTTCCTGCATTAATATCGATAACAGATATTCTAAGAGAGAGACATTTAACATGTTAATGACAGAACAAAGCAAAACAAATCACAACCCTGGACTCATATTCCACTTTTTACATAGTTTTAATTTGAACTATAAATTAAGCGGCAAGAAACCAGTGTTCTGATAAGAATATGAATAAGACTTTAGTCAGTGTAAAATAAAATATAAAGAAAACCATTATTTCAAGACAGAAATGTGTTTATTAACTAAGAACCAGGATTTATCTCCTGGAATTAATATACAGTAATTCAGCAGGGCAGAACTGCAGTAAACTCCTGAACATCAACTTACGACAAGCACAAAGCATCTATGAGTATTTTGTTATTTTTTTTGAACAGATAATTGTTATCCTTTGGCTATTTCTTAGGTTTGCTACCAGGCATTGTGGACAAATTCCAAGTGCCAGTCGATCCTATGTTTTATGGTTTCTTTGTAAGAGAAGATATGTTGTTGAAGTCCTCTGTTTTCCAGCCCTCCTCAGTCATTGCTATTCACGCGTCCTTAGAATCAGTCAGAAGGGAAAGGATGACATAGTTCAGCTCCTTAAGTTTTAGACAATGTTATCCTTAGCATGCTAGCAAGCTATGAGTCAAGCAGTTGACAAAACTGTTGATACAAAGCAAGGCCACTGAAAGAGAGTGCTATAATCAGCA